TAAATTGATGCAGTGTTGCTTTATTATGGTAAAAGTTCAAGTCATCACTCAATAAGGACACTTGTTCCTTCAAAAGAGAATCTTCAGGCAAACTAGTGAATGATTCAACTGCAGTTTGGCATTATGGAAATTATTGCGTTAAATATGGAAAAAATATATTTTTCCTAATTGTTTAATCTTGTAAAAGTCAGTGTTTGTCACCTCTCAGGCACACATCCTAGGTTTTTTTTTTCTTCTTACATTTGAATATGTTTCTATTGTCGTGTTGTGGTATTGCAATGCTGGCTTTGATTAGGAGCACAGTTTCCGTGTTTGAAATGATCTGAACAAATATACATAACAAAAAGGTTCCTTTGCAGGGTTCATTGTTCATGTAGCCGCACAACAAGTGTACGGAGATACAAATACACACGTCATGATCAGTTATCACATGAGCTACCATCTGCTGTCTGAGCAAACCACGATAGCCCAGAAAAAAAAAACCCAAAACGGATCTGTTAAATGTGTGTCTTTTTGTTTTTGGTTGTTTTTTGTTTGTTTTGCTGATACAGTTGCCTAGCAACGGCCTCAGCGTTAACATGTCCGCCGGAGCGTCCAAAGAGGAGCAGCTCAAAGTAAAGATTATAACAGTAGATTATAGCAATAAGGGTTATAACAACGATGACTGCTTTCATGTGTTTGTTGTGTTCACGGCTTTGACAGCAGTGGTTTGTGTTCCCAGGAGCTGCTCTTTCTGCGATGGGAGCAGCTGCAGCGGAGCAGCGCCGAGCAGCTGCAAGCGTAAGTCAGCGGCTCACCGGTCCGGTCCGGTCCGCTCAGACGGGCTGCATCAGAGTGCTTGTCGGTCGTTGTGATGGCAGATTGTAGGACACATGAACACAGAGGTGCTCCTGAGATAACTGTTGGTCAGCTGACGACGCTGAAACGCCTGCTTAGGATTTCCAGACACATTTTTGTTTATAGCCCTGCGATAGACTGGCGACCTGTCCAGGGTGTCCCCTGCCTTCACCCT